CATGTCATCCGATTTTCCTGTGCCACCGATTATACCTCGGTGGTACACTATTCGCACAGTGAGCGTAGAGGGTTGGGATGCGCTATATCATGACCGGATCCACGAATGGAACACCCTAGCTTCCTTGTAGTTTTTCATGTTTACATTGTTTCTATGTAACCTTATTTAAACGTTGCTATTTTAATGAGAACATTAATTTTTTATATTGTATTGCTTACTACATTTATATGTTGCATGGGTAAGTTGCGCGGATCCACATAGTCAAAATTTTAAAACAGCAATGATAATATGTCAAAGTTGAAAGCTAAAACAATAATCTAAAATGTTACAAACTTAAAACACATAGTCAAATAATTTATAAAACTAAAATGATAATATTTAAAGTGCTCTACAAATAAAATGCCAAAACCATCAGTAATCCCTCTTGGACGCCGACTCCCAATGCGCAAGGGTCTGTTCCAAACTATCAACAGCAGCTCTCAGTGTTGCACTCATGCTGTCCTTCTCCAGAGAGAGTTTATGTATGTCTTGCATTATCTTTCCCATCCACTACATACAACAAAAAAAAACATGAAATACAATAATAACATTTAAAACTTAGTTAAAAAAACAACGACAAATGTTTTATGAGACATACCGCTTCCACGGCAGTAGGCGGTGGCATATAATCAGCATCGCTGTGGTCGAGGTCTGCAATCAACCTCGAGTGCGAATACCGGTTGAACCATTCCATGTAGTAGTGGTCACACATGGGAGGAACCCCAGATGGCAGCCTCTGCAACTCCGTAGTCCGTAAACGGGCAACCATCGAAAACTGGTCCCACGTCGTAGTCATGATATCCGGCCAATGCACGGCGTAGTCCTTCGACGATGCAGATCGGACCGCCTTCATCGGGCATGCCGAGGGAGGAGGGACAATTTGGACAAATCCAAGCTGGCGAAGACAACGCTGGGGCATGTAAGCCTCCACGATATCACGATACTGAATGAGTCCCGTGTACAGGGTCCTGGGTACCCTATTACTAGGGTTCGGGCCGAAAGGCATCCAGTTCACCTGCACATAATTTTAAAATTTAGTAACATTCATATAATAAATGCATTACTGAAAAATTGTAGAAATAATTTATAAACTTTACCTCTAAGGGGGACATCCTGTCAAGCAACAACCGTATCGATCGGAGGCGGTCAACGGACTTCTTCTCCGAGCGCGGACTCCACGCACAAGCACGCGGCATCCCCTCATCAATAGGAACCGGGTCACGATGTGGTCGCAATGCAGGAAAATACTCGTATATCCAGGTCTGCAATAAAGTCAGACACCCAGTGATACCTGCCGCGTCAGCCCGACTCACAAATCCTAGTTGGCGATACAAATACGCCAACGTAGCCGATCCCCAAGAAAAATGGCCTAGACTGTCGGGGTCACATGCCTCAGCTATGTCGCGTGGCCTGAGCTTGTTTCCGCCGCTCTTATCAGGAAACAAGGTACATCCGAGGAGTAGAAAAACATAAGCAGCCAGCTGTGTGTCGTGCGTCCTATGTGCACCGGGGTAAAAACACCGCTCCAACACGGATACGATCTTCACACCGCCGTGTTCCCAAACCCAAGCGCCTCGGTGTACAGTGCAGTCCTGTCCACCGCCAACAACTCCGACAACAAATCTGCCTGATCCGCATCAGTCACAGCACAAAGTCGTTTACCGTCAACACGAATCCCAAGAATGGCCTCGACATCATGTAACATGATCGTCATCTCACCGAACGGAAGGTGGAAAGAGTTTGTATCCGGCTGCCATCGCTCAACGAAAGCCGTGATCAGCGTAGTGTCAATCTTATCGTGCATGGTGGCAGGAACATGACCCACCCCAGTGCCCTGCAATCGCTCGAACATCTCGCTCTCCACCGGCCAAGCATCAGCCCATGTACGCAAAAAGCTACAAGTCTTTTCCCGGGTATGACATTTCAACAAGCCCGTCACTGAAGGCCTCTCCTGGTCCTCCCAAATACGGGTAGCTATGTGTCCTAGAAAGATAGGAATCACACTCCCGTCTACAGGCCCATCGGGCACCTCACTCCTAACAACCCAAGAATCATTAACGGCCCTCGGCCGTTTCCTGCTTGCCCCAGACACAGTGGACGCAGATGATGTGCCAGATCTACTAACAAACCTACCACCCCTACCCTTATGCACCTCTACCATATGTGTCTTGTACATGTCATCAACCCTCTGACTGAATGGACTGTAATCATCATACGGTCCACTCCCATCGTCCCCATCCTCATATGCGCCCTCCTCCTCATCCTCCTCCTCATTGTCATCATCTTCATCTTCATCCCGACGGTGGATCCGTTCTCTACGAGCCGAGGCCGAAATACCACGGGATCTAACATGTCTATGCCCCGACCTCTCCACTGAATAGCTTTTACTAAGAACGTCTAGATTCTTCCCCGCACCATGACGACCCAATGAATTCTACAAAAAATTAAAAAAAAATATAAACATACAAAGTTTTTTAGAAAAATAAATAACTACCTACACATACAAAATACCAACACTTACAACATATCGTCATGTTTATAAACATAAAATTAATAAACAATTACACATTAACACAAAGAATTTCCACATACTACATAAATTAAGACATAAAAAATGTTTACACATCAAACATAAAAAAAATTAAACATTAACACAAAAAATAAATCTGATTTTATAAAAAATATATATACTGGATTTATAAAAATAAACACATAAAATTAATAAATATTTTTTAAAAAAAGCAAACACATTAAAAAAAATTAGAAATAAAACAAAATTATTCAAAATAAAACAAAAGAAATTTAAAAAAAAAAATAAAATAAAATAAAATAAAAAATTAAGCGGCAAGTGGGGCGCCTGGCCAGGACGCCCACCCACTGACGGTGGCTCTAGATCCGGCAGCCATAGCTGGTGGGCAGGCGCCTGAACTGGACGCCCACCCATACGCAGAGGCGCCAGCTTTGGCAGCCAGAGCCTATGGCCTGGTGTCTGGTTTGGACGCTTCTCCGGTGGCTGGGCTTCCAAGCTAGACGCCACGCCACCGGCTTTGGCTACCGGAGCTGGCGCCCCACCTTCGCCCCTTATTTATTTATTTTTTTTTAAAAAAAAATTATTTAAATACTTACCTTGCCACCAGGTCGCCGCCTTTCCTTCGCCGTCGCCGCCGCCACCTCTTTCGCTTGCCGCCTCGACATTGTCGTAATTAATTTTTTTAAGAGAAGTAGATTTTCTAATTATTTTTAGAGAGATGTAGAGAGTGTTTTTTTTCAAAAAGAAAAGGGCAATAAAGTCACTTCAATACAAATTTGTGGGCTTTATGTGGAGATTTGCGGGCGATGTTTAGCGATTCACGAATTTTAACCTCTCGTACCCGTGTCCCTTATTTTGAGACAGACGTATCCGTTTTGTACCCATGTCCGTGTCAGTACCCATTCTTGTGCAACGAAACATAATGACTCAATTTTTAGTCCCGCTTGAATTTTAAAATTTGTATGAGTAGTTAAACCAAATACATATGAAATTGAACAAAATATATCTCAAACCAATGATAACCCAAAATCTTGTGACACATTAATGACCGAAAACCAACAATAAAAAAATGTTAAGAGCTTAATTCCATTTTTCATGCCACTAAGCTATGCAAGATGTTGGTCTACTGTGGCCCAAATTTCATAGCCCAACTTATTACATCTCAAGGTTTTTAGAAAATTCCTGTATATTGAGAAATTGATGAAAAATTGTGGAAGAATATAAAATTGGTGAATGGTCATGAAAATTCTAGATTTATGTGGCAATTTAAAGAGCATGTGTGTAGAATTTTCCACACACTTCTTCCACCTCTATACATCTATCACATATAAATAGTAGTGTTGGGCATCATTTGGGAGTATGTATCCACATACATCATCCTCCAATACTCTGATACTCTGATACTATACACTCTACGAGTGTACCTCCATACATATCACGATTGGAGTTTCTACATACACACAATCTCTCTAATCCTTTATCCTTATTTTGTAATATGTACTCCTTTGAGAGTTCCTATAGTGAGAGTATTCTTGTACTATTCACACTTTCAAGGGTTATATATATTCTCTTATTTTCATATAGTGGATTATTACAGTGCTCGTTGTTCGTGGGTTATTTTTTATAATTTTTTCACGTTAAATATTGTGTGTCCACTTTCTTTTAATACTTATCTTGCTTATATCTTTCTCCTAATTATTTTATTAGTCTCTAAAATCTTTGATTTGCGATGTTTATTTGTTATACAAAGTATATGAAATCTAAAATTAAGGATAGAGAAATAATCTATAATCAAGAGATTGTAGAGATGATTATATATAATTACACAAACTTTTCACATTTAACATCAATTTTGTTTGTCAAAATTTATACAAACTATTTGTATTTTCATTTCAATCTTACTTCATCATTAAAACTCTCTTTTCCATAAGATGGTTTTGATAATACATGAACTTTAGAAAAGGATAGAGAAAAATCAAAGAATCACTGTGTTTTACACAAACTTTTTATATATGAACTCCAAGATTAAGAATAGAGACAATCAATGAATCACCAGATGTATAATTACACAATTTTTATCATCCAGTAGACGATTTTAATTTAATTTGATTTAGTTTGGCCCGAACTCGATTTCAAATGGTGGATCCTGTAACCCACATGAACAGTTTTGCATCCGCCAATGTATGTTAATGGTTAATAGCTAATAGATAGATATTGTTAAATGTGAACAAAAGCACAAAAATTAATACTACGTATAATGTAGAGTAAGTTTTGTCTATTATTCATACACTATACGAGTATAGTTTTGCTTTTTAAGTAATAAGATTTTCAAATTTGACAATATACAAAGACAAATACTCCATGCAACAAAGCTCCACCTGATTTTAATATTTTTTATTTTTTTTGAATAAACCTGATTTTAATTTAAAAAACATGTAATAGGTGTAATCTAGAATAAAATACTTCACAAAAGAGTAAGATTTAATGGTCAAATACTTCGTAAAAGAGCCTTGTGGTTGTGGCTCAAAATAGAAGGGACACATATCACACAAATACAAGTACACCACGTTACAAGTCTTACAACTTTCCACAACATTCTACATGCTGTTCAATTATCGTCAATCATCTTAAACTTTTCTACCCAAAAAAGAAATCACGTACTACAGAATCATTTCTAATTTCTAATTTCTAATCTAAAATCTCAATTTCGAACTCCCAATTGAAAAAAATGGCAGCTCAAATTTCAACTTCACCCTACAAAAAATATGAAATCCGAAAACGATTACCCGACCCGAAAACCTCAGTTCTCCTAGTAATCGACATGCAAAACTACTTCTCTTCAATAGCAAAACCCATCATTCCCGCCATAACAACGACCATCAACCTCTGCAAACGCGCAGGTATCCCAGTCATACTCACGCGCCACCGCCACAAACCCGGCGATGATGGAGGCGTATTAGGCGAGTGGTGGGGCGGGGAAATCATCATCGATGGAAGTCTCGAATCAAAACTCATCACAGAAGTAGTCGAGGCGGCCGAAGAAGGGACGAAAGATGATCACGAGAATGAAATAGAGGTGGTAGAGAAGGATACATATAGCGCGTTTCGAAACACGGGACTAGAAGAGAGGCTGAAGAAGATGGGCGTGAAGGAAGTGATTGTTAGTGGAGTTATGACGAATTTGTGTTGTGAGACGACTGCTAGAGAGGCGTTTGTACGAGGGTTTAGGGTGTTCTTTTCGACGGATGCAACCGCGACGTCATCGGATGAGCTTCATGAAGGTACTCTTGTGAATATGGCGTATGGTTTTGCTTATCTTCTTGATTGTAATCGCCTTCGCCAAGCTTTCCCACCATAGCTGCATAGTATATATACTCACTTTGTAGTTACGTGTAAAATTGTAGCTTTTATTTTTCTATTAGTCTATTGCAAGTATATTACTACTATATAAAGTCTTGTGATGTTCTAATTAGGCAATACTTCTTACATTTTAAATAACTTGGGCAGCCAACGCGCGCAGGTGTCTAGCCGTTGCGGCTTAATTTTTCATGGCTTGTATTTGCACTTCTCATGGAGATAATTATTTGTAAAGGAATATCTCTATTGCTTAAGCATTATAAGTTGAATGTTAAGTGTAAAATATCTTGTGTATTGAATAAAAATCTTTATTTTTATCTAATGTATATGGTCGTGATTAATTTAATTGGATACTATGTATAATTACAGAAGAATTTAGTTCTTAGCTTTTCAATGATAATGTAATTGTAGAAAAGGAACAAATGTCAGAATTGTTGTCTATTACTTGTGGTGGTACAATACGAAATAGAGAAAGAATCATCAATGGTAAAACCGAAACCACCAGGGAGAGGTTAATAATAAAAACATTTAAAGCTTTAAATTCTTAAGCCATTACTACCAAAATGTTGCAGCCTAATCGGATGCATAAATGGCCAATTGGTGGTACAGACAAAGAGTTTATAGCCTCATAGGTGATATGTGTTTGTTCAAAAGCAACAATTACAACCAATGGCCCATAAGGCAAGCCTATTTTAATCTTGGTAGTCCAAATTTCATTGGTATCAAATGCTATCTAGAATGTGGTCTATAAGGCAGTGCCCTTGTAAGAAGACGCACTGCGTACCTTATTGATTTTGTTGCTGTAGTAGAGTCTAGGCAAAGGAAATGGCTTTGATAGCCCACTTTAGAACTTGAAGTCTGATCAGGGATGTTGTTGGAGCAATCTGAATTGAAAATCCAAAAGGCATCTTAATTGCAAGAAATATGACAGTATAACCTGGTAAAATGATTGCAGTACATTTCTTTCCTCCTTATCGATTTGTTAGCACTCTCCAATGCTTGATATAGCTTGTGTTGTTCAGCAACAGCTGCAAAGCGCTTCAATTCGGCCGTTTTTGGTCGAAATCGGCCGGTTAAGGCCACTTAGCCCCAAAACCGGCCGATTTCATTTTGGCCATTTGTGGCCGGATTCGTGGCCATTTTTGGCGAAGGAGGGTTGCGGTTAGGTGGTTTTGGGGTGGATTAGGGCTGCGGGAAATGAAGGGGGAGGGTTTAGGTGGGTCGGCTAAGGGTAGGGGAGGGGGATGCGCCGGCGGCAGCGTTGGGTGAAGGTGGCAGTGGTGGTGGGGCTGGGGTAGATTTAGGAATTTTATTTTATTTTAAATTTTTTTTCTTTTTTTTTAATTTTTACTTTTTTAAAACAAATAAAATGGTGACACGTGTCACTGTGGACCTCACTTAATGGATTTTTGGACGGAGACCGTTAAGTGGTGGTAATGTCCAATTTTTAAAATTTTTTCTGGTGTTAAATATTTTTTTTTGGGTGTTAAAAACCCATTTTCGGGTTTTTTTTTTTCCAGGTGTTAAAATCCAAAATTTCCTTTTATTCGGTCTAACTAGTTCATTTTCAAGTGAATAAAACGCTACAATTGCAATTTTCACCCAAGGATTGCTGCAATAGGCCTTTTAATTGCAAATGCATCAATCCGAAATATAAGTATGTGCTCTCCAATTAGAGTTGGTTGATGATGCATGTACCTATGATCATATTAAGGTATGCATCTCTATTATCGGATTGTATTATCTACAACAATTCAAATTATTACTCCATACATTTCAGAAAGATATGATAAGGATTTTATATGAATAAACAAAAGCATTTACAATTTTTTCTTCAGTAAAATTCAACACACTATATTTTAAAATGAAAGTAATTCAACTGTTTTGTACATGAAAATAAATGAACGAGGTTTTCACCAACATGCTTGAATATCGTTGTCCTCCATATATGAAAGTGTATAGTAATAGGATGTTCGTTCATACATCGTTTAGCATAAAGAGTAAAGACTAAAGAGCTTTCCATTCTTCTTGTTGTCCTATTTCCCTGTACATACACTTCCTGCACATTCGCTCCTATTTTAACTTTGCAATGAGGTTGACTGTGCCTTTGATCCGCACATCTTTGTATTATTCATAGTTTATATACATATATTTTTTGACACACACCAAAGATAACATTATAGATAAGGCCTAAATGCCTTTAAGCAACATAGTGCTGCTCATCACATTGAGACAGGAAATAAAAGAGGGAAAGCTATTAGATATAACACCAGCTATCCCTAACACAGTACATAAAGCATAAAGGTTAGTAGCATATGCCGTAGTTGAAGCTGAAAAACAGAGAGAACAGGCGTGTGACCAGGAGCCTGATTACTCATACCAACGCTGCTAGTTGCGTTTGAGATCTCTAGCAAAAGCTTCTGTAACTGGCTTGGGAGGGTAGTAGTAGTACTTAAGATCATCTTCAGTCATCTGTGCTCCCATCTTGGCTAATCCATGTGCAACCGCATTTGCAGGCCTCTTAGCGTGAAGGATGATAACAATCCAGTCGTCCTCCAACATCTACTTAATATCTTGAATTATCATTTCCAGTTCATGGTTGAGAGAATCCTCTGCATTCAGAAGCATTTTCAAGTATTATTCATAGTATATTAGTACATAAAACTTATACCAAAATGCTTGATTGTCTTACATTTTTAAACATAATCATCTGTTCCTAAAACTCTTAATTAGCATGCATACTCCAGTTTCAGCTGTTCTCTTACACGGCGACAACCCTCACTTTTAGATATCCAACCTGGGCTGCATTCCCTACAGGACCCCCTTAGCAGATCTGCCTTCCCATTCATGCCTCTCATTTAGGCACAATTCTCTTACACCAGCAACATTGCATGTACGCGTTCTCTTACCTGCCCAGAGACTTCCAATAATTCTTGTAGCAAGCAACTAAATGATGAGACTAACCACTGTTTTTCCTCAGAAGATCAAGCTAAACGCTGCTGGCACACACTTCAAACAATAGAAAACTAAGATAATCCATCTCAATTCAAAATCTCCTCCCCATTCACACAGCCATCACCTATAAGGAGAGAGAGAATTGCCCATGGAACCAACAAATTAGAAATTCTACAAACCAGAATATGTTCAGACAGCACCACAGTCTACAGGATAGAATGAAATGGCAAACAAGCCCAAAATTCTCAGCCAACACATATGAAGGAGCTGATGGTGTAGGCGGCAAATTCTTTAAACTAGTGGATATGAAATTATTGCAGCAGCAATGAGGAGATAGAGGATATTTTACATGGGGGGATGTTTAAGTTCGGATAAACATCCACAATACAGCTCTGCAGGGTAATAACAATGATGCCTGCTGAGAAGTTTGATGATCTTCACATGTTACCAGAAAGTATTGATGATTTAGGCGTCATAATCTATTACTCCCAAAAAGAAAAGCCCCGCTCTTTAATAACTTTTCTGAATTCAGGCTCCTTTGTAGCACCAGTTCCTTGACCAAATTGTTTTTTGATGGTTTTGGTTTTGCTGGGGACATGATCATTAGTTACCAAGCTAGCTTCTGAATTCGTCAAAGGTGAATTTTCCATTTGCTTATTAGACAACCAGGTCTGGATCAATTCATCTGTTTTGGCATCTGGAAGCAAATTTTTCCCCTTCATCTCTGAATATATCTTGTGTGCTTCTTCTAGCTTTCCATTCAAAAAGAGTCCATGTATCAAAGCTATATGTGAAGTTGCATCATCGTTTAAACCATTATCGGTCATCTGATCCCACAGGATGAACACATTATCAAGCTGACCCCATCTGCAAAATTTCCTTATTAATAATAGATAAGTATCTTTATTTGGCTGACAACCCAACTCCTTCATTTTGTCTAACAACATGAACGCCTCTTCTCCTGTCCTCTGAATACGCAAGAATGCATGAAAAGTTCGAATAGTGGGCTGCAAGCCACGGCTGAGCATCTCACCAAAGACATTCTGTGCTTCATCCCTTCTTCGGGCCCTGCATAACGGCTTAATCAATGAGTTATAAGTGACAGCATTTGGGGCAATGCCCTTATCTTCCATGGTTTGCAGAAGATTCAAGGCTTCTGCTGCACGACCGTCCTTTGCAAGAGCATGCAAAACAGAATTATAGGCTTTCCTATCAGGTTCAATACCCATTTCCTTCATCTGGGCAAACAATTTGAGGACTTCTTTCAGCCTGTTTAACTTCGAGTAGCAAGATATAATACTCGAAAAAGAAATGACATCAAGTTTCACTCTCAGTTCATTCATCAAACTCCAGAATCTATTAGCCTCACGCGGACTACCTACAATATTGCACCAGCCATTCAGGATGATGTTAAAACTCTTGGTATTGAATTCATATGTGTTTTTGTTACTAAAAAGCAACTGCTCAGCTTCCTGCACATTCTTGTATCGAGTAAGAGCAGAAAGTAGCTTCTGAAATTCCTCCATCCCAATGCGAAAACCAAACTTCTTAAAAGCATGAAAAGTGTTTATAGAATTCACAACATCATGAACAGCAGAATACCTTCTAATCATTATAAGTAGAGTGTTAGGATTCACAATACCACCCTTTCTCATCTCATCAATCAAAGACCAGGCGGTATCAAACTTCCTCCTCTTCGCCAAGATTGATATAATCGAATGATACTCTCTCACCGAATGCACATATCCCGGCTGCTTCCCGGCCCATAGAAAGAACATGATTGCCACCTCCCAATCATTCCTAGTTCTAGACAATACCTCCACCACCAGCTCCGAAGTGAGTGAAACCCCACATTGATTGAGCTTGTTAGTAACTTCCGTCCCACCGAATAACCTCGGCCTATCACATGAAATCTCGCCCTGAGACGGGTCACTCTTGCTTACACTGCCCTTCAAGATTTCCAAAACAACCCCTAAATCATATTTAAGTTTCCCATCATTAAAACCCAATTTCACAGTTTCAATCTCATCATCATCATCCCCACTAAACCCATCATCTTCATCATTTTTACAACCATTTTCACCATTATTATCACAACTTAAATCAGTTGAATTCGATTCTAGGTTCAAGCAATTCGATGTAGCAGAGCAAAAAAACTGAATTTGGGAATTAAAACTAAAAGGGTATTTGAGATTTTCAGAAATAATAGTTACAAATTTAGGAACTTGGGTTCTTCCCAGATTAATAGAATTAACACGAACACCCAAACTCAACTCATACGATAAGTTTAATAGATAAATTCCTCTTCTGAATTTCCACATTTTTTGAGAAACTTGAAAGTAATAATTATAATAATAGTTTGAGCAGAGTTCACGGAGTTACCGATTTCATCGACAATCTACGGTGAAGCGATGGTGGTGCAACACGGCGGAGCAGAGGAGAGAGACTATTACAAATGTTGAAGGTGTTTCAGTGCGACTGTGCAAGGTTGAGCCTTGTGCATTGTTTCTCTTAAAGGGTGTTTGGTTCCTTAATTTGAAATGGATTACTATGAAATCTCCGTAATAATATTCCGTAGTCCTTTTCACTAAGGCCTTACTAATTACAGTAGATTACTCTGTATGTTTTGTATTGGTTCATTTCCCTATGATACTCTTGTGGAATACAATTTGAATTATATAAGCCCGTATTAGTGATCATTAAATTTTTTTTATCTAAATTAATGAAAGTCTTAGTAGTATGAACTTATCTTATTTTATCTAAATAGAGATAAGTTTATGATAATTTAATTGAATATGTATTATAATAATTAATGATAATTTCTTCTTTTCGAACATACCTAGACTTTTTTGATTTCTAAGATAAGATAATTGAGATGAAACAGATAAATCTTTATGAATTTGTAAAATAAGATTCAATAAGATTATACTTTAACAATAGTAGTTCATAAAAAATCAATAAGATTCAATAAGATTAAAATATATATTGAGTCGAATTCAACAAAATGTCAAAGGATTGTTTTTTCATGAATAAATCATAATAGAAGGTCAAAGGATAGTTTTTGGTAAATCAAGAAGTTAGATAATCAGCTCAAGCCTCAAATGCCAAAAGTCGATGGGAAGAAATTGATTTGTAACAATAAAACCTCTGTTAAGAGTGTTTTTTCCCAGTGGTTAGCTCTTTGGAACAAGCTGTTTAATAAAGATAGACTGCTATCTTCGAATATAGCCTGTGACCCTATTTGCTTGCTTTGTCTTGGTGGCAGTGAGAATGTTTAGCACCTTTTTCTTCCAATGTCCCTATTCTCAGAAAATCTGGTGCAATGTGTTGCAGTTATTTGATTGCAGGTAGCCAAAATCCAACAATTTGATCAGGATGTTTTGAGGGCAATTAAGCACTGCAAGAAAGTCAATGCTAACTCCTGAAGCGTGACAGAAGTTGTGCATAGTATTTGGATTCAAAGGAATGCTGTGATGTTTACAGGGAACTGTAAGCCTGCTGACAGTGTTTTCGAAGATATTGTTTATAATGTGGCTTGCAGATGCCTTGCTGGTGATAGGGTGAACAGAATGCTTGAAACTAGGGTGAACTTAATATACAAGATGAACAGATCCGAAAGATCAAAATAAGATCTTCTCAACATTAAGATTTAATAAAAATGGAATTCAGCACAAGATATAATGTAATAATATATCATCCACACCTCCCTGACTCCCTCCAGTTGTTAAGCAACAAAGAAAGCTTGCTTAAGTGACAATAAAAAGGAATTCGTGCAAAAAACATGCTATTCACATGCATTTCTTCTGGTTAACGAACACGTCGAACCTTCTCTTCTTGTCCAAGTCCAAGCGATTTTTGAGCATTTGAGATGCCTTCCGGATCTGTTTAAGGCCAAAGTCAATAATTAGATTTACAGTTTTTTTTAGGAACTAAGCATTTTATTTTCATATTCAATAGTATGAAGGGTTTTGCAACATGAAATGGTCAGGATTCAGAAAAGATTGAAAATTCCACCCCAGACCTCAAAAGGCTTCAGAGCAGAATAACATAGACGAGAATACAGAGCAGCCAAAAATTATAATGGACCAAGACAGGGAGTGCTTCACCTAGAAGTTCACTAGATGAGTAGACTATTGACTATATGATATTAGCATTTTGGATCTTCACAATTCTAGATCTCCCTCATGGCATACTTTATGTATCTTTTACCCCTTTTTTCATCACTTTTTGATAGTGACCCACTTCTCAAACAAAAGGACAAAACCACAATCATCACCATCAGGAGGTTTACCTGCTGTATTTAATGGGTGAAAAGAAGAGTGATTGTTTTGGATGATCCCGCAAAGATTACAAAAGGGTGAAAAGAAGAATGAATCTTCACTTATAACTATGACAAAACTATCTATGCAGAAGTGGCTAATATGTGCCCAACAACATTCCATAGAGTGGTCAACTTCATAGCTTCTAGCCTGAGGCATAGGCACAGAAGGAGAAGACTTTTATTTTTTATTTTAATAATTTTTATTTGTAATTCACTCGTATACTAAGATGTCAAGACAATCAATTAAGTCTCCTATTTAGTACATTAATCAGATTCAGATATAAACCAAATCAAAAGATATGATGCAATATTTGATTAATTCACTAGTGCAGTTATAACAGAGGTGAGAGAATTGAAGTGAAAGTAGTAATCGGGAAGCACATGACAGCCAGACACTCAAATAAAGCAGCGGTTCATAAAAAAGAGGCACCCATTATCACATGATTTTCCAGCTTTTCCTTTTTGACAAATGAGATGAGAGGCTCTACATGATAACAATTAGCAAACAAGGATCAAAGAATGTAAGTAAATCTGACATGGCTGATAAGTGATAAGGAACATATGGATCAAATGGCACTAAGAGGAGTTAAAAATCATGGCAGCAAACATAAAAAGCCTATGATCTTTTCACACAATTTGGGTTCAGGAACAATTCTGACTTCTGAGGGGCTGAGACATATGCACTTTCTTTCCTAGCCAGCTAGGGAAAAGCACACCAAAGAAGTTTGTATTACCAAAAAACTGAGTGAAAATACGAGTGAAGAAGCTCAAGTTGCGAGAAACATTATACGCCATCACTGGAGGGAGGGGTTTGACAAGGGTGTCAATGCTAAACACCCGCTGAAGAAACTGCAATTAGATCCACAGATAAGAATAAGCATTATATAACCAATATGAAAACTATCAAAAGAAGATCAACGTAATACATATACCCATACAGACCTCATAGAAGTAAATTTAAGAGAAATACAGCTAGTACTCCAGAGTTTAGACGCCCAATTGCCCAAACGTACTTAATTTTGGGTTTTAGTTCCTTAAAAGAGCTATAAACTTGCCAAAAAGATATCAGGGGCAAAAAAGGTGGAACATTACAGAAGACAACAAGCATAGGAGTTATTTAACTTGTCCAAAAAACCGCTTTTATCTTCAAGCAAACAATTTTTGGAACAAGCAGCCCTTGATTTTTGTAGAATTAGCAGGAAAATAAAACTTTTGGAATAATATTTCAGATACTTTTAAAGTTGTGCTACATAATTTTCTCTAGAGTTGATAAGATTCCAGCTTTTAAGGCAGATGAAAAGCAGTGAAACCCACTATTATTAATAACTGAGGAATAAAAGGAATAGTTTCCTCTTCCGTCAAAAGATTCAACAACCCCCATATAATTTCCTAAAAATGATAAAGATGAATATTTGTATGCAGTATGTCCACCCTTTAAATAAATAGTTTCTATAAGTACTAATAATCGATAGCTTCTGGGACCTTATCTACATTGAGGCTTAATATGAAGATCAAAAATCACAATATAGCCCAAAGTTTAATATTCAAAAGTAAAGAGCTCAATGTACAAGCTGTTTAGGCCTGAGTAGCAGTGACCCTCATGCCAACCAAGCTTTTTTAGGGTCCTTTATCTTCAAATAGTAAGTCTGATTCATAGAATCCTGAAGAGTGCGAATAGTCATAAGCCAATATGAGACATTTTCAGAGTCATTGCTTTCTCTTTCAAAGCTCTCTTTCTTAAACTTCAAAAGAAAAAGAAGAATAGAAAAGGCAATTAATCCTAAAGAGTGTGCATAATCATAATACGAAGTATGAACATTTTCAGTGTCATTGCTTTCTCTTTCAAAGCTCTCTTTCTTGAACTTCAAGAGAAAAACAAGAACAGAAAAGGCACTTCATCCATGATAAGCCATGCCTCAAAGATATAATATCCTATTTTGTTGAAGAACTTTAGGAACACTTCCTTCCTTGAGTACAGAATCACCCTTGTCAATAGTTATTACATATAGGAATAAAGAGATACCTAGTATTAATAGAGTAACTCCAGTCTCAAGAACCCTTGTCAATAGTTATCACAATCCCCTTGCACGCCAGAGTTATAATAATTGTGAATAGGACACCTTTCCAAAATTATATACCATCTAAAGAATTTCCTAGATGACATTCATCAACTTAGTTTGAGACCCGGTAGAGTAACACGAAAATCTTAAGATAACACACTCCTGCATTCCAGAACAATATTAATTGGACACCTTACTCCAACATTTGATACTCAGTAAAATCTAGTGCAAGCATCCTATGAAATTTCAATAATTTACGCCAACCTTTTCAAGTCCTGGGATGGCAGGTAAAGCTACAAACAAGTACACTCGAATACAGAACGAACATCCTAGGCATCACACATTCAAACAAGTACAATCAGAATAAAACCATGAATCTCATCATCACCCCATGATTCCAAAACTCTTTTCAACTATGTCAAGGGTGGAAAACCCAATACTTCAACTCCATTTTTAATCATCTGACCCCTCAATTTGAATAATCCAACCAAAATTTGTTACTTATAAGTAATTTTCTAATTTCAAAACCCTAAATACTGAATTTCAACACAGAAGAAAGGAAACCATACTGAAACAGAATTGAATTACACTCCAAAACCACAATTCCAAAGCCTAACTCCTGAAATTCAATAAGAATTCAACAAAAAAAACAACCCCATTTTATAATTCGTCAAAATAAAGCTAAATTACACTCCAAAATCACAAATTAAACATTAAAAAAAAAAAAAATCCCAAAAAAATCGAAAAAAAGGGAAAGCACAAAACCTGATAGTTGCGCTGGAAACTGTAACGAAGTTGGGGGTCAATATCGGAGAGAGAATCATCATCATCATCAGCGCCATTGTTGGAGGAGAGAGAGTTCTTCTTTTTACCAGGAACATGCATAGTAGGAGTACTACCAGGTTGATTGATGACTTTGAGCTTTGCATCTTTGAATTTATCAGATGGATTCTCTTCTTCTCTCCATGGTGCTGATGATAATAATTGCTTCTTCGTCTTCCCCATTTTTATCTCCCTCTCTCTCTCCTCTTCTTCTTCTTCTTCTTCTTCTTCTTCTTCTTCAATCTTCAGTTTTTCTATTATCTTCTGTGCTTTATTTTTTCTCTTTTATTATTAGTTCACTGATGTTAGAAATGGGCCGGACCGGGACGAGGGCTGGTTAGACACGACACGAATGGCCGACCCAGAGTTTTCCAAATTACTTCCTCCGTTTTTTTTATTTGACCCATTTTGACTTTTACACTATTTACTACCCCTCCTTTGATCGTGTTTTGTGATTAATATGTAAGAAAAAACATATTCCTGTGGGATCTTGTCAGAATCGTCTCAGTAACTACTATCACAATATATAACTTTTATAATTTTTACTTATAGAGAAATAAAGTTATTGATGATTATAGTTGTGCATCGACAAACGTGATAAAAGAAACATGCCAAGTAAAAAAGAATCGAGAAAGTAATTTAAATTATAAACGTTATTAGGCGGTTCGATGACACGATGATTGGCATGAGTCTGGCATGCCACAACTATTTCTTGGCTCGTTTTAGGCATGACCCACCTGAACACGAGGTAAGCTCGACTTTTTGTGACTCTGAGTTATCAATAGAATAGTGCCAAATTTTATAAGATACACGCCTTATAAATTTGTAAAGATATTAATTCCTTTAAGTAATCAAATATCTGAAGTACATTTCTATCAAAGAATGCTCTACAAATCAAATGTAATCTCTACAATACAATGATTACACGTATTCGATCTCGCTCTCACATTTGGTGCTAAAATTGTAACTCTTAAAAGCTTAATACAAAACAAAAAGACTAAAATCTGTTTAACTTGTGGCAAATAAAAGGGTTGTATATCATCATCAACAATTCATCATGAAGGTGGTGCATCTGGTAGTTTTTTACCAGCTAAGAAGTGCTTGATCAACTGCAGAGCTTGTCTTGGCTTAGTCGTCGGAACTTGATGCCCTGCACCTCTTACCGTTACAAACATCAGTCCTTCGTATTGGATTGTCCATCCTCCAACCTATTATAAGATACACACCTTTCAGAATTATACATTGATGACCTCAAACATTAATGTTTTGGTATATATATACAATTATATAGGTCATGTAACCATGTAACATGTTACATGTTACTTGTATTACCTGTGAGCTGGTATACCATGCAGTCCATTCTTGAACTGTTTTCAACCGGAGTTTTCTAAGAGTGTACCTAGTTGATGTTACAGGAATTCTCCCATCATTATCTCCACTGTCGGTATCAATACAATCGTGATCAGTTGTTTGTGATACATACAAGAAGTGAGGTTTCGCGAGCATGAGGGGAAGAACTGAGGAAGGGGAAGTAAATAACCTGAATATCCAAACGCGAAGACCCTTGGCTATAAGCTCTTTTATAGTAGGAAGTATCGAGGATGGAGAATCACTCCAAGAAGTGATATTGTTACTGCAAAACCATAAATACAACCAACACGTACTAAATCAGTAGCTTAAGGCCTTAAGCAGCTAGTTAATAATCTATCAGTGACTGCCTACTCTATGTGCTACTAACACTTACTTGCAGTGAGTCCATGGATATGGAAGTTTCGTAACACTGGCATGTAAGGCAGCTTGGACATCCAGTCTATTCATATAAGTATCTGTGTAGTCTGATGCACATGGATCATACCCTGCTGACGGTCTTTTGAGCCACCCTTCCTACAACAAAACAGCAAGTCCTAACCATTAAACAATTTGTCGCGACTTGGCCTGTGATCAGCTTTATTGCCTGAACTCACATATATAACTCATGACTGAGCAAAAACAAGGGATTAATGACTTACAAATCTGGAGAACAGCCGAGGAGAAACACCATCAATAACAGGAGGCTGAGTATTCCTTCTGTGAGTTTTAGTCTGGTTTTCGATACATATTGGAGCGTACAAGTTGTATATATCTATCAGTCTATAGTCAGCAAAGTATTGAGTCAGAGCATTGTTACACTCTGTAGTCAAATTTTTCTTACTGAAGTCACAGTTTTTCTTCAGATCATTGTACACACGGTCCGATATCACAGCATGATCCCATGCGTACTCAACCATCCCTTTCTGATCAGTTTCGTCGTCTAACAGTGCATTTCCAATCTGAAGAAAGTCACTGTACATTATAAGCAGACCTCCATTGACATTAATATGCATTCATATGTCAACTTCAAAAAAAACTTGTGTACTAAGATACAATTGATTTTCTTAGCATGAAATTTAAAAGAATGATTCAACAAAATAAGATTCTATAAGGATTGCTGAATGTGTACCATGAAACCTTTCAGTTTGATTTGATCTTCCTTAGAAGCAATCTTATTGCCGTCGAGTATGAACTTAGCAAGTTGTGGAACATAATGACCTTATAAGTAGGATAAGAAAAAAAGAAATACCAACTTATTAGAGTATAGTACAATGTTAGTTTCAAATAATTACTGATGAAAAATGCTTAAGAATTGAGTGAAGTGTATATGTATTTAATTACCCGCATAACTCTCCCCAGAAAGGAAAAAATCATGGGACTTAAACTGTGGAAATCTTTTGTACCAACTGACTAGAAAGTTATATGCATCCTTAGCTGTTGATCATGATCAAGGTAAAAAAAAAAAACTACAGTCAGAATCATATAATTGATACCAATATAATTACTCTATTTGTCCGGAAAAAGTTGTAACATTATGAAGGGTTAAGACAATGTTACTGTTCGTCTGTTATTTATAGTATTCGCGCAAAGAGAGTACTAGATTAACTTAGAAAAGATTGAAGGATGATTGCCTGCGATGGTGTCACCGAGTTCACTTATGTCACTGCTAGTATTACTGTAAGAAAATCCAACACCAACAGGAGATTCCAGAAACAGAAGATTGGCAGCTGAAAATACCATATACTTTATGTAAGAGCTACAATGTATAAATGAAAAATACTACAAAATAACATTTATATCGCGAATAGTGCATGTAACATGACATTTTCCGCGATTTTGTGAAAAATAACCTTCTAAAAAATCCCTACCCTAGAATTTCAACAATAGTAAATGTACACAAGATTATTTACCTTTATTCCAAGAGTACTTATTGAGCTTTAGTTTGGGTTTGCTGCCCTTTTGAGGAGAGAAAGGGCCCAATTCTTCTGCTTCTCCATACCCAATTGAAGAGCATCCTGGCCCTGTATATTTACATTGAAAATTGTTGTTAGATATACCTATTGAAATAATTTGTGACAAAATTTGTTACATTTCTTAAACTAGTATTGTTATTCCTGTTTGCTTTTTGCTTTTTAACAATGCACATATTTTTAATTTACATCATCAAATTATTCAAATACATATTTTTAAAATCCTAATAAATTAATATGTAATGAAACTTAACATCGAGAAAAAATCAACGTGATGTCACGTGGGTAATATATGTATCGGTTATAGTAGTAATGAATTAGAGACATCAAATAGAAACAGAGGAAATATTTTATGATTAAACTTTCTAATAATAATGACCTAATGGTTTAATTGAATATAATTTATTAGTTAAGAGAAGCTTAACTACTCGACCTAAGATTTAATGATAACAAGCAGCTAGAGGCCAAGTCTTAACACCTAACTAATTATTATACTCATCAGATTATACATGTTGTATTGTTGTTACACCCATTATCAACCAAAACTGATGTTGATGTTTCATTTTTGTGCCAAAAGAAAAAATTCTTTTATTATCAACTCTAGGTATTTTTTGTTTTAGGCAATGAATTAGATGGCTTATTAATCTATTATCATTCTTCACTATCTCAATTCTTACAATTCTTGTTAATCCTCTACCATGATAACGTACAAATCGATTGTATAGTAGTGTAGTGTGTCATTAACGGAAAAATGAAATCCCTTTATTTGTTTAACTTACTAAACTTAGAAACATCAAATTATTTTGACATATCTTAGAAAATGCGTCCTTTTTATTTTGGGACAATGGGAGTAATTAAATTGCTAAAGTTTAACAAACATTACAAGGTAAGGTTTTTATCACAAAAGAACATATATACTTCTAATATACATATACGAGTACTACGTAGTATGATATGATATACGTGGTACAATGTACTACGTAATAACAAGTGTGACAAATGAAAATGTACCTCCATTGAGCCAAAGGAGCAAAGGCTTATTTTGAGGCTTTTCAGTAGCTTCAAAAAACCAATAAAAGAGTGCCTTCCCATGACTTGCATTCACTGTCACATACCCTGCATATTGCTTAAAACTCACCTTTGGCTGCCCTGGAAGCCTCTCTACGAAATCCGCCCTTTGCTCCGCCATTATTTCCGGGCTTAGGCTGTTCCGTGCAGCGGCCGGATAAAACATGGTGCTTGCAGCCAGCAGCCATAGCAAACAATAGTTGATAATCATTTTGCTCACTGGAATATTTACTAATTAAGAGTTTTAAGACCCAAAATGTTGAGTTTTAGTAGTAAATAAAGTAAGTGCATTTATTTAATACCTATAAAACAGTAAAATGTTACTACTCAAAGAACTGAAACAATATATAGCTTACATGAATAATGCTTAAATTTGAGGAAAAGAAGTTAGCTACTCCGTATATAAAATGATGAGTTTGTGTCAAAGGGAGTCTTTTTGTAAGACAAAGTGGAATGTTGCAGTTTAAGCTATTACCTAATTTTTGCACTTTTTTGAATTTTTCTTTTTGTTGGATCTAGAGAATATCAACAATATTGTACACATGCATTAATTAATAGTTTCTTTTAGCAAATGACACCACATTTTTAACCAAAATTTTAATTCTATACACAATCAACACACTAGTTTTGGACCCGGACTAAGCCGTAGGTTACATGCACCACTTTATTTTTCATTCTCAATTGTTATTTATTTGATCTTATGTTTTGATCTTTTTTTTTTTTTTTTTTTTTTTTTTTGATGCAAATCTTATTTAATTTGTAAATATAATCATATAATATAACATTGATTAGTGGATAAGTCTTCGGTTATCAAAATTTTAATATGTGTAAGGAATAATATATTAAAATGTTAGCACATGAAGAATGAGATGAAAATGAAAGTG